TCCATTAAAACAATACAAAATCGGGAGCAGGGCAAACACGGACCTCTAAAATATCAGAGGTGGGATCAGATGCCATGGAGGAGTGAACATCCCCTGCCGACCGGTCACACCCGCCTTGTGTTCCTTGTCCTGATCGGAAAAAAACGAAAAAAAAAAGTAAATAATTTAGTGTGTAAATAATGAAAAAGGCACGTTATCATTTGACTTAACGATAGATTGCTGACAAGGTCGTTGTATCGACCATAGAACTTGCGAAATGATGACACTAAACGAGACTGTTAATATTCTTGTTTCATCAATTTCAATTTCATACATTTTTCTTTGAATTATACATTGAAATATTAAATTATTTGTTTTTTTACGTGTTTAGGAAGAAGGATATTAATTTGATAATAATTTATTTTTTTCCATTTTTGTAGAGATTAAGTATTAAATAGATTTTGTAAAAAATTATATATTTAAATACAAGCCTTTACTGATTGATTGTCTTTCATTCCTTATGTAAAACATTACGAAACTCCACTTTTAATCTGACTGTGTAGGAAAAAATTGGGTTATACATCGAATCAAGATGTTTAACCATTACTATACAGATAATATTTCAAAGTCAGTTATTTTCTTTTGTTTGATATATTAATTCGGTGAAAAATTGCCTTTCATATCAATATAAAACTAATTGTCAATATTTGTTTCATTAGCGCTGATTACACTTGTTTTGACAAGGTAGGCTGGTTTGATGTATCTTTTAAAAATGCATGAGCTGAAGAAAGATTTTGAAGAATTTAATATTTTTGTTGAAAATATGTTCAAACCATGTTGCTTTGAGGTCATTAATTGGAAATCATTATCATAAATACATCATAGAATTTTTTCTACTCGCGGAAAATAACACAAAGGTTTAAAAATAGTGATAATAAAAAGCTTTATATAGAGAGAAAAAAAAGGTCACCCACTTTCCACTTATTATAGATGTGCACAAAAACCATACCAACCACTCCTAAAAAGTAGCACCTATTAACGTTACACGGACAGTCAAAAGTTGTGAATGTCATTGTTTTTCTTACTGGTTTTTGAATGGCGTAAGCTTATAATGTACTCTAATAATTAGCGGATGTCATTTCACCCAATATGGGCTTATGGTGTGATTTTGTAATTATAAAATAAAAATTTGCCCATGAATGCAACACAATTCATTTTTGAGTGACAATTTGCTCAATAATGAAACCTATAATCAGCAAGATGGTCGCTGATGAGAACCAAAAGACGCCATGAAACTTTAAAAATAACTTTTAATTTTATTTAATATATCACATATGAAAAGAGCCAGATATAACATATATCCAGATCTAATGACATTAAAACACTATTTTAGAATGGATACATAAACGGTTTAACTCCGATGAATCTAAAATATCTGAAATCTCGAAGTTGCGTTCTCGGCCTCATGGATTTCAAGATAACAAATTTTAAATACCATTAAATTTGCCATTTAAAGTTATATATTTTACCACAATTATCAGTACCATATCTATAAATTTTCAACTGAAACAATGATAAGACAAAATAGTAGATATCATTACATATGAAATGTTTGTTTGTTTGTTTGCTTGCTTTTTTTTTTTTTTTTTTTTTTTTTTTTTTTTATCTTCAACTAGAAAGTTCTGTACAATAAGGAAAATATTTTGGATTTCCATTTATGAAAGATTTTGTGAACCATAACGTAGTAATATCAATAGTTATAGGATGAGATATTGTAAGAATAGTTCTATTTCGCATTCTAATAAAATTGTTAAAAAGTGGAAAAAGATAAAGATTTCTACGAACCATCTGTAGATTCAGAGAACTACATGTACATTCAAGTCTGAGTTCCGTATGTACAACTTCACAAGGCCTACTTCCATAAAAGTTAAAAAATGGGGAAAAGGGTATAATAGCTAAACTAAAATTCTAAAATGATTTAAAATTCGAAAGAGAGGGATTGTTTTGAATCAGCAAGTAGTTTATTCCAAAGACTCATTGAACTGGAAAATAAGAAATCTTAGTGTGGTTGAGCTGCAAATTAAATTTCTTGAAGTGAGATTTATTGTCCAGTGTTGTAGCTATGTCAATGCTTGCCATGACTGGATATTATATTTGATCTTGACAAAGAGCATACGGCGGATGTAATCGGTCGACTGGGGATGTTTACGCCTGCGTGGCACCTGTACCAACCCCTGAAGTTTTAGAGATCCGTTTTGTTCTGTTTCAATATTTTGTTTTGTTTTGTTTTTTGTTGTTTTTTTGTTGTTTGTTTGTTTGTTTGTTTGTTTTGTTTGTTTTTGTTTGTTTGTTTGTTTGTTTGTTTTTTGTTGTTTTTTTTTGCTTGGATACTGTCTGTCTATGAAGTTTATTGGAAGTTGAAAAGGTTGTAAAATAATATACTGTCAATAAGACATTTTCATTATCTTGTATCTTTTATCGATTTCTTTTGCAAAGAATATGAATGGTGTCGGATGACAGTTGATTTTTCCAATAAAAATGGAACTCTCAAATGTTCTTACCTTGTCACTGGTCATTTTCCAAGTTTTTTGTTAAAAATATTCTGATTGTAAAGACAGGTACTCCGAAGTTAGTATTAAAAAGATGCTTGAGTTAAATTTCTGATTGACAATATTTATGCATTTTTTGGAGATTATGTTTTCCTACACTCTGTGGAAATTCTCATGAGAACCAATTGCATCCTGGTATTAGCAGACTTATTTCTGTTTTCATATGAAGCAGTATTTTTTTTTTTTAAATTTATATATGAAGAAAAAAAAACTCATTGTGTCCTTCAGCTCGATATTAAGATATATCAGGACATATTATCAATCAACAATGTTCACTCCCATTCATATATCGACTCGATATATCCCAGTGAACTGAACACAAAAGATACCACAGAGTCTGACAGACCTGATTAATGTTTCGATATTTCTTTATAGAGAAAAAAACTGCCAGTGTTAACCTTACAACAAAACTTCATGGTAAACGAGATGACTTTAACTTTTCTATCGTCAACTGCTCTTATTTATCTAGCAATATACCTTATCATAACTAGACTATATATGGAGTTTATTTCACCTAACTGATTCGATGCACAAGAGCATGAGCATACTCTACGACAGTCTACGTAAGATTAATTTCTAAACGAGGCAAACTATTGACAAACAAGTTGATGAACCAAGGTTATCAATTGCAACAATTTTGTTTAAAGTCAATATTTGGCAAGTTCTATGGTCGATTCAATGAACTTTTCATACTAAACAGCCTATCATTCAGTCGAATGCTCACTTTTTTTTCATACAAATTGCTAAGTCATTATTTTCAGACTGAATTGTTCATGTTCGCTCTGCTCCAGACTTGTTTTGTTTCTACACACTTTCGAACTTGAATACTATTCGTTATCTCCATAGTTCATGAGAAAATTTTTAATTGATTGATTGATTGATTGTATTTTGTTTTACGTCACATTCCAAAATTTTCACTCATACATAGACGTCACCATATACCGGTGAAGGGCTCCAAATTTAGAATGACACTCAGGGGCATTGAGCAGTGAAGGATCTTTATCATGCCAACGCCTGCCGTGACACGGGGCCTCGGTTTTTAAGGTCTCATCCGAAGGACACCAAACTTTCACTTCAAAGTGCCGAGCGCTTGGCGAAGGAACAGTTGCTACTTATTTTTTATCGACTTAGGTCAGTCGCGGCCGAGATACGAACTCAACCTTCCGATCACGGAGCGAGCACTCTACCGACTGAGCTACTGAGCTGAGAGGGTGAATTTTTTAAAAGAATTATCTAGAATACCAGTATTAAAAAAGTCTGTTTTTCTTAAATTTATCATGCTGAATGGCCATTTGAAGTGGGACATAATTATACTTTAATCTTGCTGAATTTGGAAACATTGACGCTTTTAGTAAGCCTATTTGATTAACACCACTTCTGATTTATTTTGTAACAAAGTTTTGTAACAAAATACATGTACTTTTGAATTGGTTTCTTTTCTGCTGTTAGAATAATCGCTCTATAGAAAAGTTTATTGTTTTCAAAAGGTTCTCTTGACCAAACATGCATTACACTCGGCAGAAATGTTAGTGTTGGCGACAGTTGGAAAACAATTTGTCGTAATGTAATGTAAGACTGTAACTGAAATAGAAATCCAAACCATTTGAACATAATATCTACAAACATGTACTGGGGGGAGGGGGATGCTTTGACAATTTTCCATCCTTTCACATACTGAAAAAAAAAACAACAACAAAAGTCCTTTAATACTCATTATTTTCAGTATTTCATTTGAAAGCAAAAATAAATTCTACAATCATCAAAAAAAATCCATATTATCATCTATCTAAAAAAAGATCAGTCAAGCAATACTTTTAGGATAAACTTTCATAAAAATGGTGTCCAGACACGAAGCATCGTTTTTTAAAGTGGGGAGGGGGTTACAGCCAAAAATTAATGTACAAGCAAACAGAGAGAAGTCTCCGAAAAAAAAAATTAAAAAGGGGGTTTACCAAACTCAACAACCCTGTTTTTATTGGGGAGGGGGGATTCTCCTTGATTCTCTTTGATACATTATCATGTGACGATTTGAATGCACAGTCATGTAGTAAATTTACCGGATGTCAGTAAATACAACTGGTTGTCAAACTGTGAATTTTGTATTTACTGCCACCCGTTCAATTCATTTAATGTACACCATGATAATATTGCAATAAAACTGTGGACAACCGGTCTTTCGATAATAGAAATTTCCACATAAAATCGAGGAAAAGAAACTGAGGACTTATATACATACTATAAATCACGCGTTTAATCGCAGACATTTGTTCTTGATATATACTGCATTTGTATTTTCATTTTTTTTTTAAATCTTACGTGAACAAATGTTACTTTTTATTCTGTGAAAATCGGGATCGACATTCAGCTTCTGCAAGTATACTGAATACAGATCAGTGATTGAGTGAGTGACAGCCACAGACTAAGTCAGAGAACAAGAAAATAACAAAAGAACAAGACAAGGAGTCAAAAAGGTTTGTTTTCTCAATATATTTATTTTCAATTTAAAATGTGTTGGAAACTGGCCTAACATCTATTTATGCAGAAAGAATGTTTTTCAAGTAGAAGCTAAGAATTAGAAAACAATTGAAAACAAAATGTGTTTGTGAAACACTGACACCCCCGTATTGCAGGTTTTGGCGAAGGTTACAGTTTCTCAAATTCAAGTCAAACTCCAAGGTCAAGAAATTAAAAATGTCCTCACCTAAAGAAAGAACTTAAGCTTGTCTCTCTGAATATACCTGTGAAATATGCAAGCCCAAGCACCAGCTGTTCAAAAATTATGGCCAAGAATCAAGTTTTTTAAAAGTAAGTCTAACTCAAAGGTTAAGGTCATTGTGTCAAAATTAATGGTACCAAAGGCAAGGTCATGTCACAAGAAATACACAATGTCAAATACAGAAGCCCTGGCTCTAACTGTTCAAAACTTTTAGCAAAGATTGAACTTTTTCAAAAAGAGGTCAAACTGCATGAAAGGTCAAGGTCAGAAGACCCTAAGAAAGATGCAGGTGAAACATGAAAGTTCTTGTACTTCCTGTTCAAAAGTTTTGGCCAAGATTAAAGTTTTTTTAAGAGTCAAACTCTACGGTCAAAGTCAAAAGGTCAAAAATATTTATACCCAAAGAAAGGTCTTGTCACAGTAAATACACATGTGATGTGTGAAAATCTTTGCACCAATTGTTCAAAAGCTATGGGCAAGGGTAAAGTTTGTTAACTTTTTGCAAAGGTTGGTCAAACTTTAAGGTCATAGTCAGGGGGTCAAGTATGTTGGTATCAAAGAAGGGGTCTTGTCACAAGGAATGTACTTTTGAAATATGAAAGTCATAAATCCAACCAACCAAAAGTTATGGTCAAGGTTAAAGTTTTTGCAGACAAACAGACAGAAGGATGGATTGGGCAAAAATTATATATCCCTTCAATTGTATGTGTGTTTGTGTGTGGGGGAGAGGCATAACAAACAGAAAATAAAAACAAAGTACATGTACAGATCCTGGGAGTTAAAAGCTCATTTAGGACGTATAAACAGTTGAAAAAAAAGTTTTGAATTGATATACAATTCTTCATATTTTTGAAAAAATTAATAAACTATAGCATTGTTTCAGTTTGTTAAAATAAATTTAAATTGTTACAATTTATAACAAATTTAATAAATTCCATTTAACAAACTTAAAAAATTTGTTTTAGTGAATTAAACAAAAATTAATTATAACTGATTCAATTAATTTGAAATTAATTTTTGTTATGATAAATTCATTTAGATTTGTTCATACAAAATTCATTTGAAAATTCATTTTATTGAATGCATTACATTAGGCCTTAGCAATAATATTGATATGCTGGTATATTGTGCTATAATCCCAAAAAATCTTGTAATATGTTTTTGTAGTACAGACATGCCATCAAAATGCTTGAACTAGAATTTCTGTAGTAAAAAATAAAATATGAGCTGTCAGAATCATTTGCCATCTTGCCATACATAATATTGTAACATGCAACATTGTACATTTTGTATGTAAATGGAAGTTATCAAAATAAGGAAAGGACATTTTAATTATTGTTGAAAATATTGCAATACATATTGCAATACAGTTACATATATTGCAACATATCACAATATGAAATCTCTAGGCAATACTCAGCCTTAATTACATTCCAATGCACATAAAACTTGCCAGTTTGACTAATGACCATGACTCACTGGTGAATTTATTAATAGGGAATATTTCTATTTCCTAATATTGAATCACAATCAAGATAATAAGAAACATTACAAATAATAGCAAAGAATATATTTTTATTTTTAGACATCAAATGCAGATTTGTATCAATTTTGTATATATAACCATTCAGTTTTAGGTCACCCGAGTCATTCAGGTGAACTTTTGCCATCTGTGTTCATCTGTCTTCACATTTAGTTTGTCATTTGTCATCTGTCATTTGTAAACTTTTGAACATTTTTGGCTTCTTCTCTTCAACCGCTGAGCCAATTTCCACAAAATTTAAGAAATAGCCTCAATGGGTGAAAGGTTACAAAAATTGTGAATTTCATGGTTCCTGCCCCCCCCCCTCCCCCCCTCTTTTTGGGGGTGGGCTAAAACCATCAAAATAAGCACTATCTTTGAAAATTTACTTCTTTACTCCTGGACATTAAGCAGTCAATCTGTTGGCATGATTGTGATATGCATTGAATCCTCTACCAAAATTATGAGATTCATGACCCCAGGGTCAAGTCTGGAGTGAGGATAGGCTCTAATGGTCATATTGTAAAAAATATATAAATTTTTTTATTCTTCTTCTCTCCCATTTTATATGTAGCAGATAAACTAAGTGCATGGTTATGAAGAACAATGTTGCCTATTCAAAAATTGTGAAATTTTTGTCCCAGGGTCAGGGATTCTTGGGGTGTTGGGAGTTTGGGGGGCTTTAATAATTATGAAGTTAATATGCACCATTTCTCTGATAAAGATTTTTAAA